ACGTGTTGGCCACTGCGGCCATGAATGGAGCGGTGGTCACGTGGAATCTGCAGAAGCAAACCCGCTCTAAGTTGGATGTGGTGTTCAACGACCACAAGCGGACGGTTAACAAAGTGTGTTTCCATCCATCGGAGGCACACCTCCTCCTCAGCGGCTCACAAGACGGCAAAATGAAACTCTTTGACCTCCGGTGCAAAGAGGCCACGAGTACTTTCAACAGCAACTCCGAGAGTGTCCGCGACGTGCAGTTCGCTCCCTCTCAGGGCTCGTACTTCAACTTCGCGTCCGTTCAGGAGACCGGAAATGTCGAGATTTGGGACATCAGACGCAGCGACCGCTCCGACACCAACTTCATAGCGCACGGCGGACCTGTCTTTGCGTGCGATTGGCACCCGAACCCAGAGAAGCATAAATGGTTGGCCACCGCCGGCCGCGACAAAACCATCAAAGTGTGGGATCTGTCGGATCCGAGTAAACCTCAAACTCTATATACCGTTCAAACGATTGCTTCGGTTTCGCGTATCAAATGGCGCCCCAATAGGGAGTTCCAGATCGCCAGCTGTTCTCTTGTGGTAGACTTCGGGATCAATGTGNAAAGTGTGGGATCTGTCGGATCCGAGTAAACCTCAAACTCTATATACCGTTCAAACGATTGCTTCGGTTTCGCGTATCAAATGGCGCCCCAATAGGGAGTTCCAGATCGCCAGCTGTTCTCTTGTGGTAGACTTCGGGATCAATGTGTGGGACATAAAGCGGCCGTACGTGCCGTCGGCTATATTCCAGGAGCACAAGGATGTGACGACAGGCTTCGCGTGGAAGAACGACCCGCAAGTGCTTCTGTCCACCAGTAAAGACGGCACACTTTACCAGAACTTCTTTGAGGGCGCGTATCGTCCGTCCCATCACTACAATCCGATCGGTCTCTCCATAAACCCCTTCGGAGACGTGGCCTTCGCTGCCAGTGATGTCATACTCAAGAATTCGGTTAACTATAGCAACAAAGAGTTAGTCAAAGCCCATTCGTTGGGTCCGAACAGTACCATAAAGAGTGGCGGTATAATAGGTCTCATATCAACGGTTCCCTCTCTGTGGTGCATAAGTTTCTTAGTGAACAGCCGTGACAAATCCTTTTGTGGGCTAAACCGGCTTGTCAAGTCTTTACGGCAGTCAAGAGAGTACGATATGCTCACGGGGTTGGGACTGGAGTTACTGTTAGAATCGATGGATTGGTTCGTGATTTCGGCCAAAAAGTATCAATTGAACGGAAAGTCGATCGAAGAGTTGTGCGAATACAACGCCGAAGTGGCCGCACAACTCAATCGGACACAAATCTCACAGACCTGGAAGATATTGATGCAAATGTTTAACACAAACGTCAGGAACGCTACCCTCAGCGGCAGCGGTAATGTTAACTCGATTACAGTCGGAACCATTACCGACTTTAATGATAAAAGTGATCCAAACAATCCCAGTCGACACGCCAGTGGCAGCACCGGTAGGCATCTGAGTGGTGGCAAAACCATTGATCAGTTCAATACGAACGACACGTCTGGCAATGAGGACGAGTCCGACTTAAGTGATATTATTGAGGACAACAGTCAACCCAAATACAAACGCGTGTCTCAGCCGTCGCCCAAACGGCAACTCTTTGGCGACCATTTCTTCCTTGAAAACGATATGTTATCTCAATCTGGTTTCGAATTGAGTCAATCGAGTACTTTATTTGATCCGATGAGTCAACAGGACTGGGAGTTACCGCGAGAGGCCTTCTTTCCCCGACACGCCATTCAAGACTGTTCTATACCTCCGGATATAACCGACGCTAATATAGAGCCCAATTCTCCGACCACTAGTTTGGACCACAAGAGAACAGCTGGCGATCTGGAACTCCCTATTGGGGCGCCATTTGATACGCGAAACCGAAGCAATCGTTTGAACGGTATATAGAGTTTGAGGTTTACTCGGATCCGACAGATCCCACACTTTAATGGTTTTGTCGCGGCCGGCGGTGGCCAACCATTTATGCTTCTCTGGGTTCGGGTGCCAATCGCACGCGAAGACAGGTCCGCCGTGTGCTATGAAGTTGGTGTCGGAGCGGTCGCTGCGTCTGATGTCCCAAATCTCGACATTTCCGGTCTCCTGAACCGACGCGAAGTTGAAGTACGAGCCCTGAGAGGGAGCGAACTGCACGTCGCGGACACTCTCGGAGTTGCTGTTGAAAGTACTCGTGGCCTCTTTGCACCGGAGGTCAAACAGTTTCATTTTGCCGTCTTGTGAGCCGCTGAGCAGGAGGTGTGCCTCCGACGGATGGAAACACACTTTGTTAACCGTCCGCTTGTGGTCGTTGAACACCACATCCAACTTAGAGCGGGTTTGCTTCTGCAGATTCCACGTGACCACCGCTCCATTCATGGCCGCAGTGGCCAACACGTAGGATGGAAACACACTTTGTTAACCGTCCGCTTGTGGTCGTTGAACACCACATCCAACTTAGAGCGGGTTTGCTTCTGCAGATTCCACGTGACCACCGCTCCATTCATGGCCGCAGTGGCCAACACGTGGTCGTCCACCCGATTCCAGGCGACATCATTGCAGCTGTAGTTGAGGTTCAGATTTTTGCCGACCCGGAGGTTAAACGACTCGCCGAAGTGGTCGTCGTTGATCTCGAATATCTTGAAGACAGTACGTCCGGCCACTGCCACCAGATTGGCCTCACGGTTGACGGCCAGAGCATTGGTCGGCCCCTCAAGAGATGTGTTGAACCCTTTGTTTGCCATCATTTCAATGCAATCTCAATACAAACACTTGGTTTGAGTCAAAACAACTCAATTCAATATATGATTGTCTTTTCAATGAACTCTTCATTTAATACACATTCAAATCCATAGCAAATGTGTATTCATTTCTTGAAATGCCATTTATTTAAGCGTTGATTGCATTCAATAGTAAATTATGAAACAATTTGTTGTCATTTTTGTGTTTAAAAAACTATTCATTCATTCATTCATTGAATAATTGAAATAAAGTTTTGTCGCAAACATTCACTCAAACCTCACTATAATTACCACTCGTTTTGTGTAATGTATTTATGGCTTAAATTCATATGATTTGCATTTCATATATAATTTAGTATTTATTTAATCAATTAATTTCAATAAAATTTTGCGATTATATAATGAAATAAATTAATAATTGATATAAAAATCAATGGGAGGGCGAGTGGAGAGAGTGTGAGAGAGAGTGTGTGTATTGAATGCATTGAATGGTGAGTCCAATGGCGTGAATGCATTGAAAAGTGTTGAGAGAAAAGCCATTCAAACAGTGAATGCAATGAAAACACAAACCAAATCAATGTCTCAATGAATGCTTTGTATCGCTATTTCTGGACACCATTTGGCGGACACTATATTAGCCGACAATGAATTACCCGAAAGGACCCGAAGGTAAGTGATTTGACCGGTGATGACCGGCCAAAGACTGTGGCCACCACTGCTTGTGTCTCAATGTGTGGTGTGTTTTGTTGTCGCAGATGAAGAGCTGAGGAATATAATCGACAAATTGGCCCAATTTGTGGCCAGAAATGGGCCCGAGTTCGAGCAGATGACCAAGAACAAACAGCGAGACAATCCCCGCTTCTACTTCCTATTCGGTGGCGAATTCTTCAACTATTATCAGTACAGAGTGGCCACTGAACATGAGATTCACCGCAAACAACAGCAACAGCTCTGCGGCCAACAGATAATGCCGTCCGGACCACCACCTGGTCCTCAATCACAAGCGCCGCCACAACAACAACAAAACATTTGGCAAAACAATGGCATCAATAATATGAACAATACTATGAAACCAATCGATCCAAATGTGTTGACACAACAGATCAACGAACTTCAGGAACAGATCCGACAATCGGAGACCAATCTAACGGCTCAACACCAGGTTTTGATGCAACAAAAGCAGATGATTATCGATGATGTCATCAGACAATCACAAGACGATCAGATTAGACGAATGGCCGACGAATTTAACATTGATTTAAATGATTTCGAGAGTGTTTTGCTTCCCATCGCCGATAACTGCACTAAAGAGTCGATTGCGGTTAGAATTGATCCGATTTTTATTGGTTTTGATTTTAATTAAAATGTTTTGTTTAAACTTATTGTTGAAACCTCTGCAGAAGGGAAAGGTATGGATATTCAACAACTGTAATACTCCCGTCCATCACGACGTGATGGCCAAGTATTTGGCTCAAAGGTATGACTGCGTGACTGTTCATACGGTTGGCTAATATTAAGTGTCATTTTGCAGAATAACGACAAGCGGTTCGTCATTTGAGTCGAGACTTCACTTACTTTATCTGATAAACGATTTATTCAATCACTGGTAGGTCTCAAACATTAAGCACTTTATCTTTATATTGAATATATTTTGTCGCAAATGTTAACCAAATTGTGTGTGAAATTGAAATATAATTAGTCAGAGAAAAGGAGACGACAGTCTTAAGCGAGCGCTCGAGAGAGTGATTGTTCCCATTTTCTGTCATACGTTCGGTGACGCCGATGACGACGACAAACAACAAAAACTTACTAAAGTATGTCTTCATTATCTGATGAGAGGTTCTCAAAAGGATTTGTTGTTGAATTTGACGGTATTTTGTCAAATGATTGATTGACACAAACTGTTTTGAGAACCACTGAATTGATATTGAAATGAATTGTGTTGTGTTTCGATGAAATTAATGGACTATTTTGAACAGCTTCTGAAGTTATGGCAAATGAATCAGTACTTTGAGAGCTCAGCACTGGATGTAAGGCTTTTGTAATTTTAGCTCAAATGCTAAACAAAATCATTTAATAAAATAAAGCAGACATTGAAAAGACAGATATAAACTGTTTTTGTTGTTTTCACATAAATAGCAGTTACAAAATCCATCGATGGCTTTGGCCAACTATAAGGTAATATATTTTCTCATTTTAATCCATGTTATCATCAAATTTGAGTGTTTTGTTGCGTTTGATTGGAAATTATTGTTTCATTTGTTTTACTGTGAGTTTAAATTGAGTTGAATTGCAGAGTTGAAAACCCGTTGATATTTAGGTTAAAGTATTTATTAAATTACATTTTTCGCCTCAATTACCAAATTCTTAATTTATATTTCATTTCTTATTTCTTTTTTCCGATTCGTCCGAAACGATGGCTTTCTTCGGGACAAAAGAGTTCTCTTTTGAATGAATTTTCAGGTCAGATAAGTTCGGTAACGAACGGACAGTTGGCTAAACTCACACAACTCCAGAAACAGCACTCGGAGTTCGTGGCGCACATCCAGTCAAACATACAACGATTACAAGTATGAATTGATTTCCGTTTAAGTTATTTTCTTTGCAATTAATTGTATTTTATAATTAGCAACAAAAACAGCAACAAATGGTGGCCAATGTATCGCAAATGTCGGTCCCATCGCTGCCAATGCCTATCAATCCGCAAATGCCTGGACATCGATGTGAGACACGATATTATGTTTGAATTTTTGTGTATAAAACATATTTCCCATCAATAGTACTGATGCCTCCAAATCAATCACCACTCGGAACTCGACCCCCATTGATGGGTCAGTTCGATCACCCGCCCCCTCAAGCACTCGGATCGCGGCCACCAATTGTGGGCCAATTTGATCAGCAAATGCCATCGCGACCTAACCTCATGCCCCAGTTTGACCCTCAGGGGCCGCCACCGCCCACATCTGTTCCCATGTTCTTACCGCTCGTTCATCAGAACCAACCGCCAGGTATTCAGACGTCTAACTCAAGCCAAGCACCACAGCGTCTCCTTTTACCGCAATTGCATCAATCGCCGCAATTGTCCGTCAGATTAGGACCCGTTCCTCAAATTCAACAGCAAATAATGCCAACGAATCAGGGCTTTCCCAACCCATTGTCTGGTCCGCCATTCACTCCCGCTAATCATCAGTTCTTTAATGCCGCGCATAATACGGCTCCCATTCCTCCCAAAGAAGTAATCCCAGACGTGCCATACTTTGAACTCCCGGCCGGACTTATGGCACCGCTTGTGAAACTCGAAGACTTTGACTATAAATCCATAGTTCCCAAAGACATACGACTACCACCGCCCGCACCCCCTAACGATCGCCTTTTACAAGCCGTGGAGGCGTTTTACGCGCCGCCCACTCATGAGAGGCCTCGAAATAGTGACGGATGGGAACAGTTAGGCTTATATGAGTTCTTTAAAGCCAAATCTCAGACAATGAAAATTAAAGATGAGTCGCCGGCCGTTAAGGATCCGAGTGAAGAGCCTTTTAGTGATAAAAACAAAAATACTGTCAAAAATAGTAGTAATAATACTTCTAATAATAATAATAATACTTCTAAACCGAATCCAAAGAGTGATTTGGAAACGACAACAACCTCTCACTCCAAACATAGAAGTCCTTCGCCTAAAAGGAAGTACAGAGAGTATAGGGAGGATAAGAGGTATAACATATTGTGCACACATTTAATAACATTTGAATCAATGTTTTATTGAATGATATTTGTATTTGAAGTCCGAGGAAATCCAGGAGTAGACGGAGTCCAGAGCCGACGCCAAGTTTCAGACGAAGACACTCTCGATCTCATTCCAGGTCTCGGAGTCGAAGCCGAAGTCACAGTAGGAGTAGAAGTCGAAGCCGTAGTCCTATTCGATCGTATCGGTCGAGGAGTAGAAGTCATTCTCCGATCCAAAGTTTTGCGTAAGTTTTACATTATAGAGGAGTCGGTTGTCGTTGAACTGAATGGTTGTTTGCTTTTCAGTACTTATACTAAACCGGATACACGACTCGATGAGTCGAATAAAGGACATCAAATGCTCAAGAAGATGGGATGGAGCGGAACCGCTGGCTTAGGGGCCACAGAACAGGGAATCAAAGGTACGATTGATTGATGATTGATTCTCATTATAACCAAATGGATGACAACTTAATGTTTGTTTTCAGACCCAATCAAAGGCGGAGATGTGCGCGAAAATGATGAAAAGTATAGAGGAGTGGGCGTCAGGACAGCAGAGAACGATCCGTTCGAGAAGTTTCGCCAAAATAAAGGCAAGGCTTTCCTTCAAAGGATAGCTCAGGGAAGGAGTGATAAATAAAATTGTCATGTTTTTTGGTCAAACATTTGTTCATTAAATCATTAATTGAATTAACAATAAATTTGAATATAAATAACAACTTTTAAAAGAAAACAAATTATTGTAATTTTTACAACAAAAAAAACGAGTCAATCATCAATATTATGAAATACTTTGTGTTTTCACTCAAATGATACCAATTTTTTCTATAAATTACATAGAAATACATGTTTTTAAATAAATTGAATGTTTATTGCAATCACAAGACTTGATGAATGACTTTGTTTTTATATAATTTATTTAGAATTTATATAACTTTATATCTTAAGAGAGATTAACTATAATTATAAACTATTTTCATTAGATTTTCATAATAACCAAAACAAATCTCACAAATTTGTCCTAAATTTTTCAAATCTCATAACAAGTGCTCATAGAATTTGTTCGTATATTACACTATAATTTCATATAAATTGTTCACATCTTTGGTTCAGTAAATATCTTGAGTAAAATTATGGCCAAAAAACAGCGATTCAAAAGTGGTTGAGAGAAAGACATGAAGAGAATTATTGTATTGGTCTTAATATCGATGGGTATTATGGAATTGAATGGCATTTTTGTATTGTAGGTTATTTGGCAATTGGAGGCAGAATATTGTGTACTAAATAATGATATACTAATAATTAATGAGTAGATCTATGTGTGGAGATGTGACCACTCTATGTGACCATATCATGAGGACAATGGGGTCACAACATGTCGATGTCGTCGTTCAAGAACTTAAAACTGGTGTGCGATGGCCTCCACTCCACGTGAGCTAACTTTGCGTTAGGCATCGATACTGCAGAACAGGGATAGAAACAGAGAGAACCAAATATCAATCATCACATCAATTGTACCACAAATTCATTTGCTTTTATTTATTACTTTCATTTTGTATTTATATCTACAGCCAAGAGATCAGTGAATATATTTATAATTTATAATAAGTTATAAGTAATTAAGAAATTATGACTAAAAAAGCAAATGTCATATCAAATCAAGAAATATTATAAATTTATATATAAATTATCGTTACTTTTAAGTCATAATGAGTTACGAAAAAACTGAATCTTTAAATAAACAATACTATCATTGAGTGGACAGACATTTAAGATATGCTTAACGAGGAGTAACCCTCGCGAGGTGAGAGCCCTCTTCGCCGATTAGTTCATAATAGGTCTCAGTGTCACTACCTTTGCCACCGACCTCTTCGTCAGGAGTGCCGCTCTTCATCGATGGCACCAGAAATAGTAGCGCTAATGCCATGATTGCGTGCCAACAGCTGTTCCCATACAATACAACACATATAATAAATCAAATCATTAATTGTGAAACAAAACAGCCATTAAATGAACAAAACCTATGAGTTATGGCGTAATTATCCTGAGTCTCGAAGAAGGCGTAGACGACAAGCCCTCCCGCAGACAACGCAATGCCCGGCAATATACTGAATATCCAGAGACGACGCGTTGGATAACATCCTTTACGACAGCATCGGACCACCTGTTGAGACAATTCGGCGGTTAATGTTTTAACTCAAAATGTTTGCATCGATTGAATGCAAAATTCAATGAATCGGATCAACAAACCCATGAAATGATGAGAATAGCGGCGCCAATACCTGCCGGAAGCGCAAACGCCCAAAGACTCGTTCGGTCCGACTCTACAGCGAATGCTATTAGAAGAGCGCCGAAGAGATGGAAGAATGCGCGGCACAGGTCAGGCATATTGGCTAATGTGACTAAAGTTACCCAAAACGCCAATATTGCCGAATAAAAGTCCCCGAACTGCAGGACATTTACATTTAGCATACAATACGACTGCGGGTAATCAGAATCGCACGCGTGATATAACTATTCAATTAAAATGATGAACAAATGATTAGAAATAATGGAAAATATTGATAGTTTAAAGCGAACTGACTGTGGAAGAGGTCATTGTTGTCAAATAGACTAACGCTTCGGTGAAATGTTTCCTATAAGCAGACAAAACGACTGCCGGAATGAACATTATATTACTTAATGTAAGTAATAAAAAGTTGAGCAAAAGTTGATCTTCAGGTATCGCTTGTGACCCATCGTTACAGAACCATCCCTTCCATCCTAACAGTCAATTCAGACAATCAATTAGTTATATATATGTAAAGAACAAATAGTTTTATATCAAACCTCCTCTACAAACACAAGAGCTGAAGAGAACTCCTCCACTGAAATATTGTTGACATTTGCCGTGAGGGCCGCACTTGGAGTGCAAACACGGCGACGATATTATATCCAATAAGACGGATGTCTTGTTCTCGAGACACTCCATAATGGTGTCGGAGTCTTCATCTGAGTAATAACATCGCGGCGTAAGAGTTATAAACCAATTACCAGGTCTGGGGAATGGGATTAAAACGGTTTCCAATCCTCGCTTTTCGTGGAATTGTTTGTCAGTTGTGTTGACATCGATTTCATAGAAACAGTCCGAACCAAAGCCCACTCTCATGTGTTGCAAACAAAGGTTGACCGTATAGTTCTGTTGTGTGGTATTCGTGAGCGGATTGATAGCGAAATCAATGGAAAGAGTTCCGCCGATATCTGACAGAGGAATGATTCCAATCTCAAGAACTGAGCTCCGATTGCTTGGGATGTCGATGAATATGGAGACGCTCTGATTGGGTGACAGAGAGGTGGCGTCCACGTGACTGTACTTAAACTCAAGACTATTTAACGAGTCATAACGCGTATCTCAAGAACTGAGCTCCGATTGCTTGGGATGTCGATGAATATGGAGACGCTCTGATTGGGTGACAGAGAGGTGGCGTCCACGTGACTGTACTTAAACTCAAGACTATTTAACGAGTCATAACGCGTGAGACTGATATAGTTTGGAGACAACGTTTTCGGCGGTTCCAGTGGTTCCTTATTCTCCAGAGGTTTAGTTTGATTACTAGTGAAACGACTAGAATATGTTAATGCGGTCATCGGTTTGGGCATCGATTCCAGTGCCTCTTCATTGGGAATTTTGAAACAATTGTCCGTTTGATCGATAGTTAGATTTAGTTTCGCTGAAACCACTTCCAGATAACTGAAGGGCTCTATTTGGAGGTAAATCCAAGAGCCGGAAGCGATTGAATTCATTTCAACGCTACAATTGAATAACTGATTCTTACAATTAATTCTGTAGTCATTGAGAGTACGGGTGGGCAAAGCCATTGACCGCACAAATACATCGACAGGACAAATGGGTTTGCTTTCTATAGGAACTGGTGATATCTGTGCGCAATCACTAATCACTAATTTGGCACTAAAACAGTTGGCGTTGAGATAAAATTTATAAAAAGTGGTGTGAGTTATGTTTTGTACCAACGAATTAGCTGTCGATAAGACCGTAATGTCATTGTTTGGATATAATTGACTGAATGTAAAGAACGACAGACTAGCGGTCAACCGGTGCTGACACTCAGCTTCGAGGCCCTTCTGGGAGATCCTGTCGTCGACTTTATTCAAATACGACAAACAAAACCAATCGCCGGGCAATGGATTCGTCAGATTGAATGGTATGAGTCCGGAGTCGCTCTTCATCTGAAACGAGTACTGCTGGAACTCATCGGATATCCATTTGTCCGGAAGTGAAGCGTTATTAATGTTAACGATTGGCAAACTTCCGTGTCTTATGTGAACCGTTATGTCGAGCGAATCGCACGAACGGCCGCTCAAGAGCTTTGTTTGCGAATAACTCTTTAATGTGTTTCTCAAGTACGAGACATCACTATTGGATCCATTGAAGGCGGTGAACCGGAGGTGGTGGAGTAATCCCTAGTGTTTAACCATATTGACGTGGAGAGATATGCTGGCGTCTCCCATATTGACGGCGCTTCTGAGCTTAACCAATCTCAAATGACTTTTTTCGTTTCAATAGCGATTGGGGTTTACTCTTAATAAGGGTTACTCTTTAGACATGAATTACAATTTGTCATAAACTCTCATAAACTCTAATTCTGTGTTTACTGTAATGTGAATGCATTTGAGAAAATGTCATTAATATTGTGGCAATTATTCTTTAACTAGTATTAGATTCTGTAATAATTTTCAATTTATTTCAAGTCTTTATGTATTTGTTACTAAATTGATATAATATTCAGTTTTTTATTTTATTATTTATTCAACTATTGTTTTATTTTAATAGTTAATCAAATAAATTGCCCAATAATTTGTACAATTGTATAATCTCAAAGTCACGAAACATACATTATTAGTAAAGGGGATATTTATGCTTAAATCTTCTATAGTAAGTTTTACACTCTATTTTATCTCAAAGTAATTATATTTATTTTACGTTATAATTTACTAACTATCAAATGCATGAAATATTCACAACACAAACAATAAATCATTCAATTAATTGCTGTAAATGTTAGACGAATTGAGAGTTAGTCCTATTCATTGAAAATCAGGAAGTTTACGTTGGTTTTTATTTATTTAACATTGCTTTACAGTATAGTAACTACTGATTGTAATTATAGTAATTCATTACCGTTTGTGAATTGCTGTAACTTAATGTAACTTTAAACTTATAAATTATGAATAAAAATTGAAATATATTAATAGCAACAAAACCACAAGACTTTGAAATAATATTTGACTAGTAATTTAATAAAACAATTGAAACGCAAAGTATCTCTACATCGCCTACACATTGAAACCAATTGAAAGAGTCAATCATCGTTATAGTCGTTATAATCTTATCAATTATTTGATACGAAAGCCATAATTGTGTTTAAAATACGAAAATAAATACAAAACATAATATATTTTCAAAATAAATTCATTTTTGAAATAATTATAATAAATATTCATAATTGTAAATAAAATAAATGCATTATTAAACTAATGTAAGACAAGAATCGATACATTTATTACAAATTCTGTAATTCTTGGCACAGAATTTAATTTGAAAGCAATACAAATGCAATCATGTGTTGAATATTGACTCAAATGCTATCAATAGTTGAATTATTCGTTGCTTTAAATGCAATAATTAGTGAAATATAATACACATTGAGTTTGATTAACGAGATTAGCATTAAATGATTGAATACAGAATATATGGCTATATTTGACGGGT